AGAGAGAGAGAGAGAGAGAAATCTTTTTCTTCTTGGTATCAAAAATGGTAGCGAGCAGGCAGTAAAATTCTAGTATTGTAACAATTCAATGTACAACACACAATGTTTGGCGTACAGTCATGTAAGTCATGACTGTACGCCAAACAGGATACTTTCTGTTAAACTACCACAGCTCCCTACAGACACAGATTCACAAATGACAACACCAATTATATGACAAGAGAGTCATCTGTCATTGTCACTCAGCAGTTAATGATCCAGCTGTGTGAATGCCTTCTGTTTGGCATCAGCACCGTCACCGGTCTTGGAAAATACCTCCAGCTAAACACTGATCTCTCCTGTGGTTGGTTAGCATCAGTCAGCCTGGCAGCTAACAAACTTAAAATTCTGCTTAAAAAAAAATACTATGGTCGAGGACAACACACGATAGAGACTTAGTTTGTTTGTTTTTTCTCTGTTGAAAGATTTTCTGCCATAGTTTTGCCTTTCAAAACTATTCAAATGTGAGCCTAAAAAGTATGTCGGCTTTATCACAAGGCTGACATACCCTACAGTATAAACATAACAAAAACCCTTGCAAATTGACACCTTGCAACTTGTTCTCTGTGCTGTTGCTGTGGGTACAGAGCCTTACAGATACCAGACAAAGCAAGGCTGAGGCGTCTAAAAATCACCTGCACTCAGCGATAATCCCCGGCTAATGTCTGAAAGTGGACTTGCTCTGACGTACGTACTCTTTGACACCTCTTGGATAATCAAGTTTTACTCTTATAAATGGTTAAATCAGCACTTCCAGCTGTCTTTTATAATGGCAAATGGTAAATGGCCTGTATTTGTACAGCGCTTTACTAGTAATATATAATATTACATTTTAATATTCTTGCTCTGTTTTGGGTTTTTTTTGGCGTGGGCAAGGGTGGTCCATATCAGCTCCAAGATTCCACCATAATTTTATGGAGAGACTTTCCAGCTCTTTGTGTTCATGATTTCAGGCAATACAAGTTTTAATCTCTGCTATGATGACAAAGAGCATAATTCAGCTCCAAAAAATTAAATAGAAACAAGGCAAAGACTTAATTTCAATTTCTACCTGCTACATCACAAATGGTAAAAGTAAACAGTACAAATTGGTGCTTTTCCACTGCAGCACCACTGAAAGTGACAAAATTGCGATTAGTCACATTCAGAACAATCTAAAAACTGTACAGCCACACTACTTTTCTTACCTGTGGCTAGGACCACTGGAATCCCTGTGTACAACCATCAGTGCTCACGTTCAATCGTTCTCTCTCACTAAGCAGCTAATGGCGACAACACTACACAACACACGAGGGAGAGCAAGACTATGCCGCCTGGTCGGGCGTATGGCACCCAAGCACCAAAGCCATTCTCCTCCCATGCCTCTTACATAAGAGAACAGATGACATCCAAACAGGCTTGGTGAGGGTGGGATTAAAGAACAAGGAGGAAGGAGAGAGGAGGGGTGCATAGCAAGCAACAGGGAGACCAACCAAAAGGGAGGACGAGGAGGGGGGGAGGGAGGAAGAGGAGGGAGGGAAGGAGGAAGAGGAGGGAGGGAGCTGCTGTACGACAGGAAGTCAACAAACAGGCAATGGCAAGGCCGAAAGAAAGGAGCTGGAGTAAGGGAACAAAAATGCACACGCAAATATGTACAGGAATGCAGTGCTATGGATGAGAGGAATACCAGCTTGAAACATACTATGCAGTCCTATAAAAAACTAAGTATACACTTACTGCTTTCTAAGGAATTAAGAATAGCTACATGCTGCTGATCAAATGCAGTTGGTTGTTGCTCATTAGCAAGTGTGAGCACCTCAATAAAAGCAGAAGTTTGAGCAGTTTGCTGGTCTTGAGGATTTGGGTGTGTGCTAGCAATGGGGTGGATGTCTCTACATTTTAGACTCTACGGGCCTCAATTAGCATGTTAAATGTTAAAGTTCATGAAGGTACAATTTCAAAAAAAAAAAGATAGTCAACAAATATGGCTTGTTTCAAAGTGTTGCCCAGAGAAAACCTCTTCTCTCTAAGAAACACGAGACAGCATGGCTCAGGTTTGTAGAGTTGCATCAAAACAAACCACAAAACTTCTTAAACAACGTCCTTTGGACAGATGAGATCAGAGTGGAGATGTTTAGCCATAAAGCACAGCACGATGGTTGGAGAAAACCAAACACAGCATATCAGCTGTGTGCCTTATTCTAACTGTCAAGCACGGTGGTAGAGGGGTGATGATTTGAGCTTGTCTTGCAGCCACAGGATCTGAACTGGTCCACCATGAACTAGTATTCTGTAGTCAAACATGAGGCCATCTGTGTGACAGCTAAAGCTTACCCAAACTGGGTCATGCAACAGGGTAATGGTCCAAAGCACACCATGAAAATCTACAACACTATAGCTGAATAAGAACAGAATCAAGGTATTGCAGACCATACCCTGATCACAGAGTGGTATGCATTAACAAATGTTCACAAACCTCAATGGACTGAAGCAACGTTCTAAAGAAGAGTGGACAAAAATTCCTACAAAGGGATGTGAGAAACTTATAAAGGCATACGGAAAACTATTTATTCAACATACTGCTGCTAAATAGTTGCACAAGCTATTGATTGTGGTGTGTACTTAGTTTTTCACAGGGTTGCAGTGTCCAATATTTAAAAAGTTTTCATAATACAACAAGAGTCATATTTTGGTACAGCCCAACTGCTTTTCTTTTGATTTCATGAAAATAAAAATAATAATAAAAACATTTCCTTGATGTAGGCCTGCAAAATCAGTATCTACATTGTTAGAAGTACATTCGGCTTATTAAATGTCACAGAAGTAGTAGAAAATAAAAAATAAATAAAGTCATAAATAAATAAAGCCTTATGCAACAACAACAGCTGTCTTGGTTCGGCTGGCCAACACTCAATAACATGACTCTGATAATAACTTGCTTCAGAAAAAAGATCCTCAAAGACACTTTTTGGTTGTTAATTAAATTATTTTTTCAGCTCATCCATACCAAAAGAAATCTATAAATGCACAGACTGTTTTATTTACCGTGCTTTTATTGTTATTTATTCTACTTTTTTTGCTAAGGAAAACATAAGTGTTCATTATAATAAGTAAAAAAAAATTTTAAGTGTTTTTCAATATTTACTGCCAGCAGTAAATGTCATCTTATCAGTCAACAAAACTGAAAATATATGGTGCAGTTCGACATATAAGCAGTCAATATCAAACAGTCCTTTGTGTAAGTTAAACACACGATATGCCCTTAAATCCAATAATTCATCCTGCTTTGCAGCTTTTATTGCCTCCCAAAAACCAGAGTCATGCAAGTATCATGCATGTCACAGCAACATAAAGAAGACAGGTTATTTTACATATCCATCCAATAAAAATTGCTAACAAATTGAACTAACAATACCAGTATGAATCCCTGGCTTACTGTACTGAATCCTCATACTTCCGAAAGTCTCCTGTTGCTACTATCAGCTGAATGCTGCAACCTGACAGCCCGTCTAATTGGTGTGATTCATTCATGGGTGAATTGCGCTGTTCACACATCTAAGTACAAATGAACTCAGCAACTTTCAAACACACACACACACACACAAAACCACACAGAGCTGATAAGGAGGAGGCAGTTAATGTACCAGCCTTGTCATAAACACAGAAGACTTTGGATGTTAAGTTATCTGAGTTAAGGTTGGACCTGTTAACAACATGGTTAAACTCTAGAACCTTAAAGGTGAGCCAGATGTGACACAGAACAGGAGTAAACCCTCCTAAAACACAGACAGTGCAAATATGCGTATAGGAAAGGCCACACCTGGCCTCCCGTAAATGGCTGGGGGATGTAGAGACTAGGCAAAATAAAAGCAAAAGTAGGAGTAGTATGATAATACTTTAAAGTTAGCCCGATGCATTCCACTCATCACCATGCTCCCACCTCTCATCTACAATGTCACTACATTGTTATTAGTGGTGATGATCTCTCTCTCCCTCCTAACGGTTCTATACACATTACTCAACATGTAGAAGCAATGGTAGTCTGTGCAAGAAAATATAAGATGACAAGTTTAGAGGTACGAGCCTGTCAGAAACAGCCTCTTAGTGCACAGTCAAAGTTCATGTAGGATTATCGCCACACCGTTTGACAGTTGGCTTCACTTGACAGGAAAGCTAAACTTGTCTCAGGCTGGGTTCATGGGGCTTTTTCAACTCACGAGGATTAAACAGCAGCATTTACTTTGAGCGAACCAGCCCGTGGGCCGCTGCATACAGCAAATAACTCAATAAACCCCAGTTCCTGTACAGTGCAATTTGATGTCACATATTTGCTGCTGTTATCAGCTAGAGCAGCAAAGTAGGCCATCAACTCTAAGGTTAAAAATGAAGCCGTTCGGGAGAGCTGGCGTTAGCTTGGGCAAATCGGGCCTGGCAGCGACAGCAGCAGCAGGAGGAGGAGGAGGCAGCGCAGCATTCAAAACTTGACAGCGCGATAGCCTCACTAGCGTTAACTAGCTAGCAGTGTTAGCATCCCGACTAACCGTTACAAAGCCGCATTGAACACTAGATAGTCGTCTCCAAAGAACACATAAAGCTCTAAGATAGTATATCCATGAAGATAAAGCGGCTTTCATTTCAAAGCTTTGAAGCTTTACTTTAGAAAATTATATTTTTGGTAGCTAGCTAACGTTAGTGCAACGGTTATCGCGGGTTAGCTCAAGTTGAACATGTAGCCTTAGCTTAAGACCCGCCACCAGTCAAAGGAAACACAAGAAGCTGATTAAAAGAATGAAACCTGCGATTATATCAAAGCCAATGTGTGCTAATAAGATAGAGTTACCTGGGCGGGCTCGGGCGATCACCCATCATCCCAGATGTAAATACGGGGCAGTGCTAATGCTGCTACCGTTAGCTAGCGCTCACAGACTGACAGAGTGACCAGGCTGGGAGACACACACCGTCCCGAGTCCCGACCCGAGCCCGACAAGCTGCAGCCGACCAAGTGGCTGGTAGCCCTCCAATCGTAGTACTTTACCTTGATCCTCTGCGGTTCGCAACGGAGACGGCGGCGAGGAGTTATCCTATGTTTGGAAAGCTATCGGGCTATTAGTTAGGCTACCTCCAGTTCGGTAAGAACAGCCTTTCCCCAGCAGCGGCGGAGCAGCAGGAAAATCTTTGGCCTGAAACAGCCAAACCCACGAGTAGCCTTCCTTCCAACTGAATAATCCTCAAACTCCCATTAATTACAAAATACACCTACGATACACACAAACGATTACGTTAACGCATTTACATTCCTGTTATTGATTCACTCGCTCGTCTTCCCCAAAAACCCTGGATTTTGGTGTTTTCTTTGCTCGTCTATGATCCGGGGCTGTTTCCTTTCACCCTATTGTCAACACTGCTGGGTTGAGACCATGGCACACATAACAGAGACACAGCTTAGCGTGCTGGACGAGCATCTGAACCACGTACAAAGCTGATTGGCTGCAGGGAGCGATGTCCGCAATTGTGATTGGACAGCCAGAACTGTCAATCACAACACGGAGAAACGAGGCTCCGAATCCGTCGGTTAGGTAGAGGAGAAGGGACAAGGAAAAAGATCGAGGCAGAGAGCGAAGTACAGTGTGTATGTGTGGAGGCTTCACCAGGCAGCGTGCTGGAATGAGGCTAAACCTGTCCGAGGCCCGGCCCTGCACCTCGCTTCTATGTATCCGCATTTTAACGCTCGTTCTGCCCAATCGTTTATTGCACATTTATAAGTGTTTTTGAAGACCTCCTCACAGCCGAGGCGGTGCTGTGTGAAAGACGAGTGCATTTCAGCCCTAGAACCGAAATTAGAGAGGAACACTACAGCGAGAGTTACATAACTGATATATAGGTCTGTGAATGCGCTATATAGCTAATGCTAGGGCATGCATGGGTGTTTCCTTTACTCGCTCACGTATTGGTTTTCTCTCGCTTGCTAGGTTTTTAAAATAACACATTTGCAAATAGTTTCTGCTCCAACTTTACAGCAAATTATACAAATATTTTTTTATTTAAAAAAAAACAATATACCATATAATTCATATTAGTCACTATACTGGAAACGTGTCAACTGAAGTGTTACATAGGCCTAGCTATATCTTATGTATTTGAATTACTGGTGCATTAACGTGTAAGTAGCAATAATTATTAGTATTAACGCACTGTGTCCAGGGGTAGTTTTATCTAACGTGCTGGTTACTGGCTTGGACAATTATGAGGCAGTAGGCCGTGTATAAAGGTTTCGCACATTTCATACAAAATAAAAAAAAAAACTTCATACCCCATAGTGTTTTTCTATAGCTGTTTTCTGTGTCTGTGGTTGCTTTGCTTTTTTAAGTCGTAATTTTAGTGTCATTTTTCCTCATTTTATGTAGTCACAGCATCTCTGAGAGATTCCTGCGACTTATTCGTGATTTTTTTTTTATCTGCTTCCTCATCATTTTCATCCTTCTAGCTGCGTCTCTTTGAGTTTGCTGTTTTGTTTTGTCTCTTCTAGTCCTTTGGCATTTTTTAGTCACCCTGGTGTTTCATAGTTTTCAAGGAGTATCTTTGGTGAGTGTAATATTATTTTTTTATTTATTTTTTTGCTTCATTCAGAACTCCACAAGATTTGGTATGTCTTAAGCAGCGAGCATTCTCAGCAGAATCTCTAGTGAAGTGTTTTCTCACCGTTGTCACTAAGGACAGAAATAGCAAAACTGCATAATATTGACCAGCAAAACCACACTTTGGTTTTGCCACTGTAACAATGAAGCCTGTTAGAGGCCTTGTTCCTACTTACTGAAGTAAAATTACATTCACACAACTTAGAGGAACCATTTCTCTACAGCTGTATTTCCCATATCAACATGTTTTAGTAGTAAAACCTAATTTGTAGCAAACTTAGCATCACATCTACACTGCTAAATTAGGAATCATGGACTTTATCAACAATTTTAAAAGAATGACTTTAGAAATAGTTCTGTATTATGTTTTT